ATCTCTTTTTTCAAAAATTTGAAATTTTCACTGCAGAGTTCTTTAATGTCTTTGGTCTTTGGCTAGGTTTATTCCTAAATATTTTGTATTTTTTGAGGCTATTGTGAATGGGAGTGTTTTCATGAACTCTTTCTGGTTGCTTGTTATTGTTCTACAGGAAGGCTACTGATTTATGTAAATTGCTTTTGTATCTTACCACTTTGTTAACAGTGTTGACCATTTCAAGAAATTTTCTTGTGGATTTTTTTGGTTCTCGTGTAAAATATCATATCATCTGTAAATAGGGATGATATGACCCATTTTTCCCCAATTAGTACTTCTTTAATTTCCTTCTATTTTCTTACTACTGTAGCTAGAGTTTCAAGCCCTATGTTGAAAAAATGGGTAGAGTGCACAGCCTTGTGTGTACAGCCTTGTGTGCTTTCTAATTTTAATAGGAATGCCTCAAGTCTTTCTCCATTTAAAATGATGTTGGCTGTGGGTTTGTTGTATATAGCCTAAATTATGTTGAGGTATGTTCCTTCTAGTCCAGTTCCTTCTAGAACTTTTATCATGAATGCATGTTGGATTTTGTCAAATTCTCTTTCTATGTCTACTGATCTAATCATATGGTTTTTGTCTTTAAGTCCGTTAATATTATTTAGTATGTTTACTGACATCTATATTGATTCATCTCTGAATCTCTGGAATAAAGGCACCTTGATCATAGTGGATGATCTTTTTGATGTGTGTCTGTTTGCTATTTAGGAGTATTTTGTTGAGAAGTTTTGCATCTATGTTCATTATGGAGATGGGCCTATTGTTTTCTTTGTGTGTCTTTATTGCTTTTGGTATTAGAATAATACTGGAATTATAGAAGGAGTTTGGGAGTTCTCCCTCTGTTTATATCTTTTTGAATAAGTTAAGCAGTATTGGTTGTAGATCTTCTTTGAATGTATGATAACATTCTTCTGTGAATCCATCTGGGCCTGGACTTCTTTTCTTATGAAGCTGTGTTTTATTGTTTCAGTTTCCTTATTTGGTATGTGTCTGTTGAAGTTGTTCATCTTTTCTTAATTTAACTTTGGTGGTTCCATTGAATTTAGGAATTTTTCCATTTCTTTTAGATATTCTAATATAATAGAGTATAGCTTTTAATAGTATTCCTCCTTAATTTTTTTCTGAATCTTTTGGTGTCTGTTCTGATGTTTGCACTTTTTACTCTGATTTTGTTCATTTGGATTTGCTATTTCTTTCTTTTGGTTAGCTATGCTAAAGATCTTATGTCTTTTCAAAGAACCAGCTTTTAGATACATTGATTCTTTTTACTACTTTGTTTGCTTCTTTTTCATTGATTTCTGCTTTGATTTTTATTATTTCTTCTTGTCTGTTGGGTTTGGTGGTTTGTTCTTGCTTTTCCAGATTCTTGTGTTGTACCATTATGTCATTTATTCATGCTGTTTCTAATTTTTTTTGGTCTTTTTGAGACAGGGTCTCCCTGTGGCCCCAGCTGTCCTGGAACTCACAGAGATCCTCCTGCCTCTGCCTCCCAAGTGCTGGGACTATAGGTGTGCGCCAGCACACCCGGCTCATGTTTCTAATTTTTAAATATAGGTGCTTAGGGCTACAAACTTCCCTCTTAGGACTGCTTTAAATATGTCCCAAAAGTTTCTTGAGATGTATTTTCATTTTCATTTAGTTCCAAGAGTACTTTTATTTCCTTCTTGATTTCTTCTTTGACCCATTCTTCATTCAGGAGGGTGTTGTTTAATCTCCACGTCTTCGTGCAGTTACTAGAGCTTCTATTGATGTTGATTTTAAGTTTTATTGCATTGTGGTACAATAGCATACATGGAATTATTTTAATTTTTTGTATTTGTTGAGGTTTGTTTTGTGCCCCAGTCTGTGGTCAGTTTTTAGAGAAACTTCCTTGGGCTGCTGAAAAGAAAGTGTATTCTTTGGTACTTGTGTAGAATATTCCATAGATATCTGTTAGGCCCATTTTATGTATAATGTCTTTTAATTCAGATGTCTCTCTGTTTATTATTTGTACAGTTGACCTATCTTTTGGAGACAGTGGAGGATTTGTGTCTGCTACTATTACTAGGGGAGTTTTTATGTTAAGTAGTGGCTTGAACTGAAGTAGTACTGTTTTTATGAAATAGGGTGCACTGCAGTTTGGTGCATACGTGTTTGTGATTGTAATGTCTTCTTGATCCGTTGTTCCTTTGATCAAAACAAGTGGATTTCTTTATCTCTTCTGATTGATCTTAGCTTAAAGTCTATTTTGTCAGATATTAGAATTGTAACACCTGCTTGTTTCTTAGTGTCATTAGTTTTAATATTTTTCTATCCTTTCTCCCTGAGGATGGTGCAGTTTGGTGCATACGTGTTTGTGATTGTAATGTCTTCTTGATCCGTTGTTCCTTTGATCAAAACAAGTGGATTTCTTTATCTCTTCTGATTGATCTTAGCTTAAAGTCTATTTTGTCAGATATTAGAATTGTAACACCTGCTTGTTTCTTAGTGTCATTAGTTTTAATATTTTTCTATCCTTTCTCCCTGAGGATGGTGCCTATCCTTGAAGGTAAGATGTTTCTTGTAGATAACAAATAGGTGGATTTTGCTTTTTAATCAATTCAATTAGTCTTCATGTTTTCACTGGGGAGTTGAGGCCATTGATATTTAAAGTTATTATTGAAAGATGTGTATGGGTACTGTTATTTTAATTTCTGTTTGTGTTTTTGGTCCTATTTTGTGTTTTTGTACTGATAACTTCATTTGTTTTCTTTCTGTCACCTCTTGGGTATTGTTGGTCATTTCTTTGTATTGCTTAAAGTATGCTGTTTTGGGCTGGTTTGGTGGACATAATTTCTTCAAGCCTATTTGTATCATGTAAAAATTTTCTTTCCCTTTTGACTATGATAGACAGTTTTGCTGGGTAAAGTATTCTGGGTTGGCATCTATGATCATTTAGAACTTGGAATTCTTTGCTCCAGGCTCTTCTGGCTTTTTTTTTGTCTTTTTGAGACAGGGTCTCCCTGTAGCCCAAGCTGTCCTGGAACTCACTATGTAGACCACGCTGGCCTTGAACTCACAGAGTGCCTCCCAAGTGCTGGGATTAAAGGTGTGCACCACCACGCCCGGCTCTAAGTTTGCACTGAAATCTCAGCTGTAATTTTGAGGGTTTTCCCTTTATATGTAATATGTTATTTTTCTTTTGAAATGGTCAGTATCCTCTCTTTGTTCTGTACATTTGGTGTTTTTACTGTGATATGCCGTGGAGAGTTTCTGTTCTGTTCCTGTCTTTTTGCTGTTCTATGTGCTCCTTGTATCTGTGTAGGTATGTCTTTCCTTAATATAGGGAATTTTTCTCCTAAGTCCTATTGAAGGTCTGGTCAATGCCATTGACTTGAGGTTTTTCTCCTTCCTCTATGCCTATGATGCATAGTAGATGTGGTCTTTTTATGTTTTAAACTGATTTATTGAGTTTTCCAATTCCATATTCATTTCATCCCGTTTTTCTTCAATATTTCTGTCTCTTTCGTGAATTCACTTTTCAAATCCTAACATTTCATTCAGCTGTATATTTGTATTTTTCTGAGCTCAGTCAGGAGTTTTTTCCTATTCCCTTTGAGCTCTTGAGCTGTTTGTGTATTCCTTAAAGTCATTGATTTTTTTTTTATCATGCTTATGACTGTTCTTTTAATTATAGGTCCTGGGGTTCCTCTAGGTAGTTCTAATTATAGAACATTCTTTATTACTGGTGTGATTTAGAGGGGACATATTATCTTGGTTTTTCATATTACTTTTGCTTTTGTGCTGTAATCTTGACATATGGATTTCTTTTATTGGTTGTGTGTCTGATATGGAATTCTAGCTTGCCTTTGTTGAGTTGAAGTTTAGTTCTGTTTTTATTGTTGATGTAGATTGGTTGCTTTCAGATCAAGTATGAATAGTTAGTTGGTATGTGCTTCAGGTTCTTTTGATTTTTTTTCTAGGAGGGATTAGATGATTCCAGGTTGGTGAGGTGGGTGGTCTCCAACAGGGTGAAGGGAGTCTAGGCCCAAGTAGGGCATTTGGGACTAAGTGGGCCCATTGTAAAGGACTAAGCAGTTGATGATGTGAGCCCAGGGAGTAGGAATGGGACTGGTCCCAGAGCAGGGGTATGGCAACATGCTGGGTGGGATACTGATAACCCAAGGTGTTAGTCTGGCACTGTCAGGCAACATCATTATCAGGAAGGGGCCAAGACCCAAGGAGAGCCGACTGGGACAGGATGGGCCTGGATGGGTTCTGACTAACTAAGCAGAGAAGCCTTACATGCTATTCATGTACAATGTGTTTAAACTTTTCCAGCCACGACATGGAAATTCCTCAAAACAAAACAAAACAAAACAAAACTGAACTACTGTATGATTCAGCTGTAACACCTCTGGGTATATATACAAAATGAATCAGTGTAAGCATTCAACTCTCTCTCTCTCTCTCTCTCTCTCTCTCTCTCCTCCTCCCTCCCTCCCTCCCCCTCCCTCTCTCCAGTAATTGGAATGAACTATGGAGATCTCTACCACTGAACTGCATCTGCAACCTCTTTTTAGTTAATTTAAAAATTTTTCTTTATTCTTGTGAATTTCATACATGTATGTAAGAAATAGGATTATATTTAACCCCCAATCTCCCCTGTATCCTCCTCAATAGGTCCCCCTCCAAACTTTGTGTCTTTTCTATAGCCCACTAAGTCCAAGTGCTGCCTGTATGTGCATGGATCTGCCTTACATTTATTTTGAGGCAGGGTCTTTCTAAGTTTTCCAACCTGGCCTTGATCTCCATATGTGGCCCCAGAAGGCCTCAAACTTGTGATCCCTCTGTCTCAGCCACCTGATTACCTGGGATGACTGGCTTGTGGCACCATGTAGGGCTAGCAGCTACACTGACAATATTTCTTTCTCTATTCTTTCATTTAGAATAGCCTGCTCTTCTAAATTGTCCATAGAAAAGACCATTGATTGTGAAGGCATTTCATCTTCTTATGTATTTATTCATGGTTCTGATTTTTCCAGTTCCATAGTTTAGTGTACCATGGTTACATTATCGTTCAATTCAAAACAGTCTCAGTTTTCTTCTCATTTCATTCATTGATTATTGAAAAGGATTTTTGCTTTATTTACAAAATGTAGGGACACTAGTTATCTCTGATTGCATAATCAAAAGAGTCATCGGTTTCAAAGATCTCCTGATGACACAAGAGGTCTGCAAGATGGCTGGGGTTCATTAGCCAGATCTCAGTTGGGGCAGAGCCTGTGTGCTCAGGTGGCCCCGTGTCTTCCTTCATGAACTGTGGAGTCTGGGTCTTCTCCCTTTGCTGGTGGGCACCAGAGCAGAGTGATCGCTGGTCTTAGCTTGTCTCCTGTTTGAGTGTCATACTGCACAGCTGGGCATAGGTCGTATCCTGGGACTCCTTGAATACAGCAGCCTGGAGTGAGAGTCAGAGGCAGGGATGTGCTTGGTGTCAGGAGCCTAGGGGGCTGGAGAGGATGGCACTAACCTGCAGGTAAGTCTCTTTGTCCTGTCCTGACTGTTCTTCATGTCCAATATTTCCCTGAAATAGTGGGGATGAAGCGGTGGCCACTGCCTTCCTGAGCCTGGAGGGTTTTACCTGGGCATACATCATTCTCTGGAGGTCTTCCTTAGGTGGGCTCTGCAGCAGGGAGACAACAAGACAGAGACATCTCCTGATGACACTCACGCTATCCTCCAGCCAGTTTTTCACATTGTGTCCAGAGAGATACTTTAGAATTTATATTTTTCCAATGTATATTATTTATCGAATTTTTCTGCACTTCATACAAAACATCTTAATCATATTTACACATCCTCTCACATCCCCAAATAGCCTCCCACTAGATTTCATGCATTATGTCACATATGTTAAGGACCATCAAGTCAAGTTTGTGTACTCAGATGTCCCTTGGTGCAACTTCATTCACTGGGCTCTACTTAGCTTATCTAGAGCTTCTTCCTTAAGGAAGATAAACTCTCCCTCACCCAGCAGTAATCAGATGCCAATAGTTTTTTGATTAGGGTTGGGGCCTGCTGCCCATTTCCCCTGTTATAGCCAAATACACTTGACTGGAGAGGACATGGATCCTAAAGAAAACCCTACCTCAGTCATCTCCCTAGACAAATGCAATCTCTTTCTGTATGCTGAATATGGATGTTTATATTTACAGTGAAGTATACCAGTCACCACTCATCAAGAAGCTTCTTTATGCAACAGATGGAGACCATTACAGAGTACTACAACTGGTTACACACAGAGAACATATGTCTAAGAGATGCCCATTCCAAAGTGGCACATCTACAATGGAACCTCTGCACCCAAGGCTCATGGAACATGGTGGAATAGGGGGTGGAAAGAATACTAGTACATCCCTCAACTCTCACCAGCAAAGCTTCCTCATGCAACAGAGAGCGATGCACATGGAAGGTCACAACTGGCCAAGTTACAGAGGATAAGAGACTGCAGAGAGCATGTCCTTGGATAGGACTCCTATATTGAACCTCACTCATCCATAGTTCAGGGACCATTGAGAAAGGGGCAGAAAGATTGTAAGAGTCAGCATTTGTGGATAATTATAGGGAAACAGTCTTCCTTTAGGTATTTAAATCACATTCTATCTTTCCTGGCAGAGACTTCAGGAGTTTCCTGGAAACTTGGGGCATTTGGAAGCTTCCTTCTTCCCCATAGTCCTGGTCTTTTGTCCTAACACGATTTCTTCTTCCTTGACTCCAGCTATGTGACATATCTTCCTGAAAGAATATATTCCTGTCTCAAGATCTTTGCACCTGATTTGTCTCCTGCCTGCACATGCTGTTTCACTGGATGTCCATGTTGGCCTTCTGCACACAGGGTCCCCCTCAGAATACACCTTTTCAGAGTTCCTCCACCCCTTGTAAATCATATAGCGACCCTGTGTGTCCCACACACTACATTCAACTTCTCTGCCTTACCTTCTTTTAGAGTGCATTGCATTATTAACGTTCCACATTGATTTGCATCTCATTTCCGACCTTTGAAATGAACCTAGACTTGCTGGGAAGCTCTGTCCCCTGATGTATCTGTAGCTGCTATAGGGAGCCTAGTCAAGAGAAAGCTTCGCATGGGTGGCTGAGTGATTGAATGGTGGAAGGCCTTGGGGTTGTAGATAGTCCATTTGTTCATTATCCTTTGAGACCCCAGAAGTATGCTAACAACTAGAAAGATGCCTAGAAAATGCAAAGAAGACTGGAGGGAAAGATCACATCATCAAAAGAGAACAAGGATAGACTGAGGTCATAGCAGAAGGGAGGCTGGGGCTTCCAGAAGTGGGAGTGAGCTTTGGATGCCACTGAGAGCTGACCGAGGGAAAGATCCATGTGAGTTCCCTGAGTTCCTTGGGTAAACTGGGATACGAGTTCTTTGCTTTGGATGCCACTGAGAGCTGACCGAGGGAAAGATCTGAAAGATCTGCTATAGAGAAAGAAAAACCATCTTTGTATAACTTAGACATTAGTACCTAGGCTTAGTAAAAGAAGGATGGGAGGGAGGGGGGAGGGAAACCAAGTTGTTAGAGTGTAATCACCCAACCGGCACCTGGCTGCTGAGAAACCCGGAGAAGCCCCAAACCCATAAAACATGAAAGAACCAAACAAAAGGCAGCTTCACAAGATGAGGCAGTATTTCTCAAGCTGCCAGGCAGGGCGCCATTCGGCCGGGAGGGCCGGAGATAACAGAAGAACATCAGAGGGACATCTGTGGCTAGGCAGGAAGGTGAAGGGGAGTGTGAACCTTGTAAAACCCGATAAGAAAGAAATGGCCATGGAGCCCCGGTCACCCTGAATTCCAAGGAATACACGTATGTCTCTTTTTGAACTAACCAATAACTGTGCATCTGCTTCTGTAAATTTGCTTCTGCCCTATAAAAGACCCTCCCCAACATGAGCCGGCGCGCAAGTCTTAACCTTTGCAGGGTAAGGCTGTGCGCCCTCAGACGTCTGTGATTTCTTAATAAAAACTCCTCTTGCTTATTGCATCCCGAAGCTTGGTCTTGTCCCTGTGTGATGAGCGCACGTCTCTTTCAACATGGTGGTTTCCCTTTTCCTCACTGACTTTCACATGGTCTTGTCACCTGCCCTCTCTTCCATAAAGATTGTCTTGCCACCTGCCCCCTCTGACATGCACATCGTTGTGTCACCTGCCCCCTCTGACGTGCAGATGGTCGTGTCACTTGCCCCGT